TCCATGGCTGTACTTTTGTATTTCAAATGCAACAAATGGCATCTGTTTTCACTCTTGACTTTATTTCATAGATTCACCTTAAACTTCTTTTGTTTGCTGATAAGACTTCAAGTTGACACTGAGTTTTCTGTTGGACCAACAGCTCCACATCCTAAGCAGAGCACCCTTCTTGTTACATAAGACTCTGAAAATAAAACAAATGGAAAAGTGCATTTAATAACAGTTACTCTTATGGGATGCAGATTGTACTTTCTGGCAAATATAGTTAATGACAGTTTGTAGCTGTGTTTTTTGTATTTTTTTTTAATGTGTAATTAACACTGGGGCCTAAGAAATTTGTGAGTTTAGGAGCACAGACCCTTTGTGGTAGGAAATACTGGACATGCTCCCTTAGGATATGTGTGCAAACAACTGTTGAGAGACGAGGACAGCTTTTCTCTCCATAATTTGTATGGAGAGTGTTGATCAATGGACTGAAAAGTTAGCATTAAATATTTTGAATCCAGTTATTAAATATTTAGTCTGATATTGAAGGGTAGGTTATACAATTCTGAATTCAGTTTGGTGTTGGAACTCACTGCAGTTTGTGAGGGGTTAGTAATTATTTCTACTTCAGATGAACTTTAACTCTTTCCTTCAATATCAAAACTATTCAAATTAGCGAGCAATATGTAGAGTTTTTTTATATAAGAAACCTTTTTTTTCTATTTTCCTGGAGCATTTGGAACTTTTGATTTTTTTCTTTGTCAGGTGATTTTAGGTGCTGGTGCTTTCAGAATAAACCCACAGCTGTTGTCAGGCTTGCAGTAAGATCCCAAGAGCTGGCAATGCTGCTGAGTTTGTTTTGTTTCAGCTCAGAAATCTGAATGAAATCCCCAGGAAATAACACCTTGAGTTCCCACACTGCATTCCTTGCCTCTTTATAAAACTGTGGGATAAGTCTTCCTAATACGAGGTTTTACTTAACTCACTGAGGTTTTTTTGTTTGTCTTCTGATCTCTTCCTCCCTCCTCTTCCTCTGCCCTCTGGTTCAAACCTGGTATCTTGGTACCGGCAGATGCGCCTGCCACGAGCACCAGCACCGCTGAGTTTCAAACCCTTGTTACCAAGCACAGTTCCTGCAGCTTTTGAGGGTGGGCAGAGCTTTTCACTCAGGTGTTTTTTTTTTTGTTCTCCCTTTCCCACTTATCTTCCCTAGTCTTAAAAATCTCTTACCTGTATCTGCAGGAAGCCAGAAGCCTTGCTGTGCTGGTGCAGGCACTTTCCTCTCCCCCACGAGATGAGAAGAGATTCAGCACATGAGTACAGTGTGTGGCTCCTCCTTGAAAGGAGATTAGGCTACTTGGGCAATGCTGGGAGGTTTAATTAAAAAACATTACCTACTTACGTCCCCCATCCCTGGAAGTGTTCAAAGCCAGCTTGGATGGGGCTTGGAGCAATCTGGTCTAGTGGAAGGTGTCCCTGCCCATGTTGGAACTAGACAATCTTTAGAGTCCCTTCCAACCCAGACCATTCTGTGGTTCTATGATCTATCTATCATCTTGTCTTACATGCCAGATGGGCAGGAGGTGATCCTGTGGTTTCAGCAATCTAATCAGCTCCCAGATGGAGCAGGGCATGGCCCGAGAGTATTTTGGAGCTTTGTTTGCTTCTCCTCTCTCCCTGTTTGGGGTTGGCATCCTTCTTTAGGCCACCTTTCTGCAGATAAAGGGAGGGCTGGGAAGTCCGTCCTTTGTTGCACCCAGCAATTTCCCTTCTGGGTTTACCTCCATGGGACAGGAAAGCAGCAAGGACCAGAGCTGGAGGACTTTTTCCAGGCTTTTTTAGTGGGGCGTGGCATGGCATGGTTGGACAGAGGGTAGAGCTAGTGAACACTATCAGCTTTTACTGAACGCTGTCTTGCTTTTTTAACCAAGATACCTTCTTCTGCAAAAGTTGGGCTTGGAGATGATTCATATGAAATTTTCAGTTCACTGGTATCTGTTACATATTTTGATGGGAAGCTGTTGAAAGGGGAGAATGAGAAAGAATTGACCCAAGATGGTTAAATCTCATAAGAAGACAGATTTCCTTTGTTGCTGGCAAACTGCAGCAAACTGGATTTTTGTGCTGAACAGAAGCAGATTTTCAGACTTCTTGAAGGTTGGAGTTTGTATACATATTTTTGTTAATAAATCTGCAGTAAATATTTGCATATCTGTTTTTATCTCCTAGCAGACCAGCTTGGGTATGCACTTCTATACAACCAGTACAAAAATTCCAAATCTGGACAAAGTAAACATCTTTCACAGCCAGGAAGTACAAAATACATAACTGCAAAGCTTTTTTTCCTGGAAGAAAGTGTGTTTTTATCATCTCTCAATAAAACCCAGGGTTTGCAGTGAGACATGCAGGAAAGGCACAAACAGTGAAGCTCAGTGTACGAAGACAAACGAGCAGGAGTGTCTTCATATGAGCTACGTGGCCTTGAAAGTGATTCCCTGAGCAACAGGAATACCTGTGTGAAAATGAGTTAACACTTGCAAATCCCCATGTGTCCTCTCTGCTGCAGACCATAGTGCTGGGATGGAACAGTTTATGAAGGGGATGATATGAAGGAGTCAATAGATTGAGCCATTCATTTCCTTATTTCTTAATTGCGTATAACATAGGTGAACGCTACTAAAAATAAGAGCTTGGGAGTTTGTACTTGGCTGGATGTGAGAAAGATCTTGGTTTCTCAAAAGGTTTAAAGCTTTTCTTGAAGTGTAACACAGGCTGGCAGCCTGAGTATGAAAAGAAAGCACTGTCTTTGTAAGCAGAAGTGATTATTTGATCTGTCTGGGCCGTGTGAAGGTGGTGGATTGCTGGAGGGGTGAGCACACTCATGGTGTTGCAGGGGACTCTGCCTGTCATCTTGCTCCAGATTTCCAGGCTTTTGAAGTCGCTGAGGGTCCTTTGAGGCTCAGCAAGTCGTGCAGGCTGCTTTGTGGGTGCTGATTTGGAGATGCCTCTAAGTGTCCTTGAAGCTGATGAGAAAGTAGAGCAGACTTATTGTGCTCAGTTCTTTTATCTGGCTGCTGTTGTCCCCATGAGTGGGTGACTGTGGGTTTTGTGCTCACTGGCTTCTTATACTCTGAAAGTGGCCCTGAGTACAGTGGTTTCTCATATATGACATCTGAAAAGAAAAATACTGCAGACAGAAATGTCTGTGTTTCCTTGATAAAGGAAGGTCATTTCTTTAGTCACTTCTAATGGCTCAGTTGACTTCAGTGCCTCTGTAGATTTATGCTAATCACCTCCAGAAACTGGATGCTTCATTCTGTTTCTCTGTGGAAATATTGATTCAGCTTAAATCAAGTGTAATTCTGCTGAAGGCAATTGACTTGAATGGTGCAAGTCATAGGTTTGCTTTGTCTGAATTTCCTTTCAGATTTAACCCAAAATGAGTAACAGAAGCGAGTAGATGGTTGTACCAAGGCAGAGCAGGGATAGTCACTGCCACCACCATTGCCTGCACAGGTTTCTGTGCCATGTCATGAACTGTCTGACTGTTTCCCCACCCTGCTCTGCCCATTCCTGTTGTGATTATGGTGTCATTTGCTCGTTATGACTTTGCTTTCTAAATTGCGTGGCATCCCAGAGAGCCCTGGGGTTTGCTGGTGGGCACTTGCCCATAAGAAAGGTTTGCAAGTTTTAAAGTAAGAAACCTGTCAGTAAAGGTGCTGAAATCTATGTGTAGTTTTACTTGGTTGATGGCATACATTTGCTGTATATGTACTTTCTTGAATTCCAAATTATTTGAAAAAAAGCACACAACCCTGCCACTTCCAGGGAAATCTGTAGCTGTGCTGCAGAGGGAGATCTGGGGATGGCTGGTCTCTGCAATGGGCAAGGGATGTTGTAGAATCATGGAATAGTTTGGATTAGAAGAGACCTTTAAGGATCATCTAGTCCAACTCCCAACCCAGTTCTCAACTGGGGACAGGTCTAAGTAAATGCAGCCCTGGTAAAAGGAAGACAGAAATTCCCATTTCTCACACCCTTGAGCAGGTCATCATCATATGTTCCTGTAACATTCCTGTTTGGCTTCATGTCTCTCCTCAGGGATGCAGGGCTTGGTGGGGTGCAGCACAAGCTGCTCTGTCTGGGATGATTAAAACAGATTTTGGGTTTCCTGAAGCAGTTCTGAGTCAAAATGAAATCTGTGAACCTGTTTCCTCACACCCTCAAAGGGCCAGTGTAGCCACTGTGCAACTCAGTGAGACCTGAGGAATTACTGCTTTGAGTAGAAAGCTCGTGCAAAATCAGGGTTTGACATTCAAAAAGAGATGACTCAGTAAAAATGTCTATTGAATACATTTACCTACTGAGTTATTTTTTCATTTTGATCTATAGCATCTTCTTTTCCTTTCTCTTCTTTTGATTGGTACAAAGAAAAACCATGACAGTGCTGCTGAAGAACAGCTGTCTGACAATACTGAGAACATCTTGCACAGAGGCAGTTTCACAGAGCAAGTTAAATTCGTTTCAGGAGTGACAAAATTGCTATGATTTGATGGCTGTTGGGTGTTTGTGAGCAGTGTACTGGGTTTGGTGTAGAAGTTGTAGCATCTGTGTCAATCCTCGTTCCTTCCAGCTTGTCCCTTTGCAGTTCTGTCTTTCAGGTGTCTGTTGTTCTGTGACAGCTGCTTTGTTAATCTCCACCTGTGATAAATTCAATTTAAAAAGTAGTTGCTGTGCCCTTTGCTGCTAGTCTGTCATAGTCTGGGGTAAAAACCACACATCTCTCTACCTGAGAAGGACCTTGTGAAATAAAGCTGGCATTAACTCTAAATCACATTAATTTTCAAGGCCAAGCGTGCGTTGTGTATTTGTCTGTCTGGCCCTGGAGCCGGTGCTGTGCTTTGCTCGGGCCGATGATTAGATGACTGTCTAGAGTGAAGGAGAGCGTGCGTGTCCTGCCACGCAGCATCCCCTCCTCGCCTGCTCATTAACCCGCCCCTGTTGTTTTGTGGCAGGGAGGAGGCCAGGGAGCCGGACTCCTGGAGCACCTTGTCTCACACGGTGCACTCGGGGGACTACAGCGTGAAGCACCACCGCGGGCTCAACGTGTACCTGCTGACGGCTGAGGCCAAGGAAGGGGCAGCGTCCAGCTGGGAGAGGGACATACAGCACCTGCAGATGCACATGCAGAACCACCAGCACAAGGTAAGGAAAACGCTGAGGTGGTGAAGGAGAAGCAGTGCTACCTGGTTGCTGCTTGGCACCTGGGGAGGGCTTTCATACATAGGCATCTTTCAGGGCATATTTCTTTAGGCATTTTCTCTGGATGCCGTTATCAAGCATCCAGGTGGACACCTGCCTGTTTTCTTCCTGTTTGAGCATGGGGAGATCTGATAAAGCTGTATTAGGCAGCAAATGTTCTCTCTCAGAAGAGAAGCAGGCTTGGAGCTGTGCAATGCCTGCTCTGTTTGGCTTTGTGGTCTCTCTCTGCTCCCACCTCCTGCCTTTTCCATTAGCTTGGGACCCGCTTGGATGAGCAGGGAAACCTCCCTGGAGACATGCTGTCCTCTGGCAGCTGTTGGGCAGCTAAAGGCAGGCTCTGGAGTGAGGCTGGCTTTGTGGGCAGTGAGCACAGTGGATATGTCTCTGTTCAGATAGAAAGTTCAGGGTCAGAGATGAGTATGAGGGGAAAGTCTCTGGGGCGGGTGATGGAGAAAATAACGGTCTCTGTAAGACTTCAGTGTAAGATGAGCCTGCCTTGGCCACAAAAGGTATGTGTCCGTAGTGGTTCCTTCACTGTGCTCCTCTCAGACCCCATGGTGGTTGGACAGCAGGAGCTGTGGGGCTTTGGAGGGGCTTCCTCTCCCTGCTTCAGAGTCTCAGTTGGGATGGGAAGGCGAAACAGCAGAACACTTCTGTGCCATTTCTCAGAAACACCCTCTGTCTTGTGCAGCTGCCATCACTTGTGGGTGTTCCTTCATCAGCTCATGTAGCTGCTGTTGCAGAGGTGCAAGATCTAAATAACAGGATATTTTTGTTCCTTTAACTAAGGGAGGGGAGAATTCTCAACTGAAAGTGAGCTGGGAGGGTGTTCAGAGGTAGGGGCCGTCCTGAGCCATTTTCACCCTCCCCTCGGTACCTGAGATCTTAATTTCTCCAGATCTCAACAGGAACTGGTGACGAGTGGCTAACCATGAAATTTCTTGCCCTTTCCATCAAAAGACACTAAAGCATGGCCAACATATCCAGCTCACTGCTTGTTTGCTTGTGCAAATGCCAGATGGGTACATTTTGCCTGACAATGAAACCAGAAATAGACTTTTCTTTCCACCGCTGTTTTATTTCACATTTAATCTGATTTGAATTTGGAAAGCAGCCCTGTAATTATTTCATTTAGATTTATTTCGGGTCAGTTGAAAGCTTGAGTTGGCTTCCTTTGGTGATGGCTGTATTTTTCAGGCTATCAGCAGAGTGACTTCACTGTGAGGATGCTGGGGCTGCTGCGGCCCCTCCTTTTGAAAATCTTGCATGTTCCCAAGCAAGTGTCACTGTTGTCTGTGTCTGTCCATCCTGGCTGTGTGGTCTGTGTCCATCCTGGCTAGGAGCCAGAAGCATGGTGTCCATGCCCTGCTGTGGGGTTACAGCCACCAGACTCCTGGCACAGTGTTTGTTTGCCCTTGCAAAAAGTAGCTGCAGCCTGCAGGTACCACTCCATGCAGAGCCCTATGTCCCATCCCTGGTGCTACACAAGCATGGAGATGCCATGCCTCCAATGCTAACCTGCTTTGGGAAGCCTCAGGGAGCTCTGGCGTAGCTGACAGCATATATGGGAGCTGGGTAGCAGGATTATTTTGAATAGGAGGGAAATTCATGGCAAACACCAGAAGTACATTTAGTGGTCCATGATTCAGTGATTCTGTGGCGCTGCTCAATGTTTGCAAACCTCCGAGCATGGAAAGACAAGTAAACGCAATATCCTCGAGGTAGCAGTGATGATTTTAGCCAGTGTTTGTATATGCAGTACCCAGAAGTTCCCTGTGATGCATCAGTTAACATATTAGCCACTTAATTATTCAGGGTGTTTAAGCTGACATTTTTGGTATGAAGTTTGCTTTCTCTGAGAAATCTTAAACAAAATTTGCAGGGAGCTGTTTAAGTTAGACTTCTAGGACACATGTATTTTTTTGAAATATTTTTTACAAAGAAATGCAAAAAACCCCCTCAGATTTCACATAGTTCATTAGAGTTTTGTGTTTGTGGAGAGTCACAGGCACTTAGCAAGAAACCAGTGTGACCTCGGAAAGTTTATGGTGCAAAGCCCCAAGCAAACCAAGGGAGGTCTCTGGGGTGTAAGTTGAGGGATTGGGGTTGCTCGTTAATTTAATAAGCCACTTCTTCTAAGATGTGAACATTGATGTATTCTCTTCTGCAGAGAAGAGAATATGAAAGGAGCTATTGAAACAGGCAGTTCTTTTTAAGTAAAGGTTTGATTGTATCAAACTATAAAAGCTTGACAAAGCAGATGCTCTGGAAGGAAAATGCAGATTAGAGGGGAATTGAATATGTTGCTGCTGTTCCATGATAATGCATGTATTAATTTTAATAGTATGTCATCATTTTGAAATTTTTATTTCCAGTTAGGAAATAAATTTCAGATATTTAATTATGCCTGCAATTCTCAGGAATAGATTAGATGATTAGTTCAGTCCTAGTGGAGCAGTGGTGTGTTTGGACAGTGTCAGCCAATGCCCAAATCTGAAGTAGCATTTCCACCCATGTAGAGAAAATTGAGCAACACTGGTAAGAGCTGGGGAGCAGTATCGGGCAGAAATCTGTGGTTGCTCTTAAACAGCATTTGCTTAAAGACCTTTGGGACTATGCTGATATATATTTGCATTATTTGGTAGACTGAATTCTGCTGTTTACTGATCTTGAATTTAAGTGCACTCAAGAAATATGACTACAACTGCTTGAAGAGCAATTACCAAGATTGCAGTTCATCTCAGTGGTGGCAGATGGTGTAGCAAGGGGGTAGAGGGACAAATTTCAGCTTCAGGGTGTTCAGTCTGACTGTTGGGAAAAAATTCTTCATGGAAGGGTGGTGTGGCATGGGAACAGATTGCCCAGAGAGGCTGTGGGTACTCTATCACTGGAAGTTTTGGGGACTTGGCAAGATAAAGTCATGGTTGACCTGATGTTGCATTGGCAGCAGTCCAGTCTCAGGCAGGTGGTTGGAATAGATGACCTTCAGATGCTCTTTTCAACAAATGCTTCTGTCATTCTAATAATTTCAGTATTACCTTGTACCAAAACCAACATGTAAAATACTCACTGAAGTATATTTGTAACTCTGTCCTGGGTGACACCAGGTAGAGGTACAGAGGGAGTCACATGGAATATGATTGTGTAGATATAGATCTTGCACATGATGGAGACAGGGTAAAGTGTGACAGAGTAAAGTAATACTTTCTTTTGTGTGTGTGTGTGTGTGTCTTGTTACAGAGTTCCAGGCAGCAGACAGAGCCTGTACTGGGGGATTCTGGAGACAGTTGTGCTAAAGGAGCAGAGCCAGATCGTCGCCTGACCACTACCTCTCAGAGCCTTGAAAAAATGGCAAGAGAAGAAAGGCAGGAAAATCCATCTGATCTGGGTCATCTGGACTTTGGACAGCTCTCAGACCAAACCCAACAGGAGGAGAAATGCAACAGCAGGAGTTTGGGAACTTTTAATGATGCACCCAATAACTTGGTTAGCCTGGGGGATGGAAACAGCCCAGAGTCATTCTATGAAAGTAAAAACACAGAGATATTGTGTAAAAAGGAAGAGGTGGGGCCAACCTCTGCCGAAGACTCTGGGACTGTATCAGATGAGAAGGAATGCACTGTGAGCCCGTGTGCAAGTGTAAACGGTGCTGTAAATCTTCCATCCTCTGGAAATACAAATGAGGCAGCTGGAATGACATCTGCTGGAGTTGTTCTGGATCAAGCTGGCTTGGGCAGTACAGATATTGCCCATCAGGAAGTGCAAGGTGCCGAGGAGCGTGCAGCTGGCAGTGCTGCTGCTGTGGTTGCAGCTGCAGGTGAAGCCCCAGCTTCCTCGGAGGGCCTGGATGTGGTTATGGGCCAGGCTGAATGCAGGAACTGTGCCGGGGCCGCTGAGAGGGCTGCGGGCCAGCAGCAGGGAGAGGATGGGATGGCAGAGGTGGGCGAGAGGACTGCAAACCTGGAAGAGGAATCTCCAGCTAAGGAGGAGTCAGCCAGTGCTGCTCAGCCCTTACTCAGTGGTTTTAATGGCACTGAGTGTTCGAATGGGGAGGATGCAAACATGGGAGTGGCACCGGCCTGGGATGGTACAAATGCAGATGGTGGCACTGGCGATGTCTCTGTTGACCTTTGCAAGACTGGCGATAACAAAGAGACTGGATCATGCACTGCTCAGGTAAATGGTGACTTCGTGGAAAGCCAAGGGAATGCCTGTGTCACAGCAAGGCAGGATGTCACTGCGAGCGCTGGGGAAGCACTACCAGCAGCGAATGGAGTGAAGGTTCCTGCCTGTGCATCAAAACCTGATCCTGGTTCAGAGACCCATGGCAGCAGTAAGAGTGGGGAGCGAGAAAGGCAGGTGGAAGCAGGTTGCATAGATGGAAAATCCAGCTTGCCCTCACTGGAAGGCAGCGTGGAAACTGATGGCCCTGATGCTGAACCTGAAAACAGTGATGTTGGTGGATCTAATGGAAGCGGTGCAGAACCTGAGCATTGCCAGGAGAGCAGTGAGATCACTGACCATGGGGCTGAAGCAATGGAGAGCAGTGAAAAGGAACCAGTAGGAACTGATACCAGCAGCCCCAGAGATGGAGGAAGTGTAAATTCTGCAGGTCAGGAAGTTGATGGCTGTCGCCTTTCTGCTGCTCAGACTGGCATTAAAGATGAAATGGGCAACAGCTTCAAACCAGTCACTGCTCAGGAGAGCGAACGTGAGCCTGCATCGCTCCCTCCAGAGGACTTGAGCACAGGCCTGACAGGGAAGGAGCCTGCCCAGACCGAAGCAGAGATAGCAGAAAGTGCTTCAGAGCAGGAGGGGCTGAACAATGAGGTGAAATCGCCTGCTCCCCTGCCCAGAGGAGAGGGACAGGCTGTGAGTCAGGAGGGAGATGCTGCAGTGGCACCTCCTGGGCAGGAGGCAGCTCTACAAGGTAATGACCCTGGATTAGTGCCATGTGCCAATGGTGCAGACTGTGCCAAGGATAATTTAATGGGCACACCCTCTGCAATTCATAATGAGGACTCTAAACAAAACCAGGAAGCAGTGGCGGCGGGGGCAGACTCGGCAGAGCTCTCCTGGCAGCACGGCGGGGAGCATGGCGGGGTAGCTGCCAGCAGGCCCGGGAACTGTGCTGGGGATGAGGGCTCCCTGGAGCAGGGCCTCTCTCAGGCTGAAGGAGGCAAAGCTGAGCCTGAGTGGGAGGCTCATGCGAATGGCAAGGAGCAGGTTTTGTCAGAGGAACTTCCTGCTGCTCTTGTGAAATCCTCTGCCTGCAGTCTTGGGGGTCCTGTGGTGGGCAGCAGCAATGTGGATGCTGGGCTAAAAGAAAAACCTGAAGAAGCGCAGAAGGCCAGAGCAGTGGCCGCAGGAGAAGGCACCATGCATGGACCTGCATCAGCAGATGAGTCACTGGGTGCGGAGAGTGACCCCTGTCTGAATGCGGGACTGAACCAAGAACATGATCCCAGTCAGACCCTACAACGGATCTCCCTGCACAGCAGCACCTCTGAGTTAAAGGACACCTCAGAAATGGGAGCCCTGAGTGATGCCTGTGAGGGTAAGGAAGTACTGAGGCCGGTGACAATGACCCCCGTTGCAGCATATCCAGAGGAGCAGGAGGATATGGACAGCGTGCTTCCCCGGGCAGCACTCCAGCCCATCGCAGAGGAGCCCACGTGTGACAGCGACTCCAGCACCGACACCGTTTGTCCGGCCGGCGACAGTGATGCTGGTCCCGTTGGGAAAGCAGCTCAAGGGGATGAACATGACGGAAAGCAAAGCCGAGCTGTACCTGAATTGCCTGTCTCACCATGTGCCTGCCATTTACCTGCTGTTGAGTCACTGGAAAATGTGGGAGTAAAGAGTTTGGTATCGGCAGATGATGGCTCCTCTCTGGATAAAGTTCCTAAAATGGTAAAAAGTTTCGATGCGGTGGTTTTTGCAGCAGAGATACCTCGTTCCTCTGAATTACCAGCCCCAGAAAAAGGGGTGCTTGAGCCCCAGGCTGCAGTGGATGTTGGAGTCAGCCTTAATGGAGAAATGGATTTAAGTTCCTCAACAAAGAAGAAGAATGTCAGCCTGGCAGTGCAAGGAGCTGAGCCTGTTACAGGTAGGAAAAATCAGTTTGTTTCCTACTTTTTAGATTTTCTTTGTAGGCATGCCTCTAGCATCTCATCAGCAAAGGAAGTAAGAGCTGTAGGCCTGTGCTGCAGAGGAAGTGTAGGTGTTAGGGGTTTTTCTTCTGAGAAAGGAAAAATTTGAAATTACATGTAAAAACTTCCAATTCAAATGCATGTTGCTGGGCTGGCAGTGGAGGTAAGAACAGGACATCATCTCCTTTGAATTTGTACAGAAGAATTTCTAGCACATGAATCCTCCCTGAAGAAGGAATGAATGGGAGGAAGCTATTTGGATTACTTTATCTTCAAGTTAGATGCTTTCATCTGGGCATGAGGGTTTATTTCCTTAGTGCTATTGCCTCCCCTTTATTTTTGCTAACATGAAATCAGAGGGTACAGCGGGGACCTCCTGCGTTTTCTTTGCTTGTCTGCTTGAAACAGCTGCAAATGTCCCTCTGAACTGCCCAAAGCTGTTTCCTAATTGGCGGCATTAGGTCATTTAAAAAAGCCAGCGAGCCCTACCCCCACCCCTTTTCCGGGCTTCGTAGCTTTTTTGTCGGACAGAGCAGCCGGTGGTGCTTTCCAGTGCATTTAAGCAGTACTGGAACTCGGATGATGAGTTTTTCCTGCTGCTGGCTGGGAAGCGGAACGGGCGTTCCCCGGGGATAAGTGTGATGGGGGAGAGTGGTGGGACTTGGGGACAGCTCAGACGCCTGGTGCCCGTGCAACAGGAGCTAATAGAAAACATCACCAGGTAACTCCAAAAAGGGAAACAAAGGGGTAAATTGAATAACAAAAAAAAAAAAAAAAAAAAGGGAGTTTGTTACTCCAGACTGAAATTAAATGATAGGTGAATTTGGTACTGAAGCATGGAGCTAATCTGATCTTCGTATTCCACCTGTTCAGGCAGCTGTTAAATGGAAGCAGCTGAACTTTTTCAGTTGCCATTTTTTTTCTCTACTGTGAGAAAATGCTACAGTGCCTCTTGCTTTCCCAGCACTGAGCAAACAAACAAACAAAGCATTTAAACAATTAAAAAAAAGTTTTCTATGATATAAATCATGAAGTTGTGACGTTATAAAGGTGTTTCACTGTTTTAATGCTGGGAGCTGGTTTTTTTTTTTTTACTTAATGGAATATAGGATGACTGCAGAGGGTTTATTCTGATACATGATGGCAGAATAACTGGGGGCAGGAGAAAGGACTGGGGGGGCTCAATGGCAGGTCCAGCAAATCCCTTTTTCATTGAGTTCAGTATTTTTAGAACACTTATGTGTCAATAGATAACCAGTAACTATGAGTCAGGAGATCATTAGTAAATAAGTAGAAAGATTTAAAAGTGGATTCAAAAGCCGTTTTCAGAAGGAACCTGTTTTAGTGCTGTGTTGGTTTAACAGTTCAATAGGATGGGAGTGGCTGTAAGTCAATACCTGGCAGGGCTCCTTTTTCCTGGGAACCTGCGGCTCTGCTGGCTCCCTCTGTACAGTCCAGGTCTTTATCTGTGGTTGGATTCTTGGAGGCATGATGTTGTCTAGGCGAGGTTTTAGAAGGAAAAGGGATTAGACAGTCCAATAAGAAAGTAGCTAAAATAGAAAAGTTATGTTAAGGCATCATTCTATGTTAGAACAGGGAAAGGGGGGGGGGAAGGAAGTGATCCTGTTACTGATTTAAAATACGGAAGGATTTAGGTCTAATAGGTCTTGGGATACAACGATCTGACCTCGCCTTAATCAAAAATTGTTTATTTGCAATGAGATGCTGCACAGAGCAAAATTTCAACTGTAATACTGTCTTTTGAAATATTTCAGGATTCTTTTGAAGCAAAATGTTAGGGAAGTGCAAATAAAATATTAACTTTAAAGCAGAGACAAGCGGCTGCTATGAATCCAAGCTTGCTATTTGAAATGTTTCTGAAACTCACCTCCTATAAAGCAGCATCTAGAACTCTGACATGGCAGTAATTCAAGAGAACTGATTTATTGTTTATTATTATTGTTGTGTACATTCTTCATGTTGATGTCTAGCCTTGGGTAGCACATTTTGTGTATGATTTCAGTGATAGCCTTCAATTCTTCTTTGCTGTGCGAGTGCTGGGCAGTTTTCCCTGCAGGCTGGGTTTGTACAGAGGATTTTGTGTCCATGACAGAGTCGTCAGTGCACACAATGAATCACATCTTTTTTTGATGGAATACAATAAAGCCTTCCCAAGGGAAGTGTAGGTCATGAGGCCCTTTCTCAGAAACACGTGTAGTCAGAGGATTTTATTGTCATGGTAACTTATCAGAGATGTGATCAGCTGATAATTGCTGTTGCCATTATTCCAAATCATTGAGCTCTTTAACTTTTTTATTTATATCGTGAAGCTGCTCCCAAATATACACCTGTTTATCTCATTGCCTCTGCTTAGTTTCCTCCTACTCCCAAAGCAAAACTTCAAAAGGCTAATTTCCTTATCCAGACAAATATCTAGTGACTGGTCACAATACTGAAGGAAGGTAATTAAGGTAGAAGATCCTGCTTTCCTAAGGCATCTCCTCATGCTGTTGGCTTTAGACTCAGAGCTGCATTGCAGCTGAGTAATGGGTTCTGCGAGCACATTTTTTGCAAGTCAGGCAGGTAGATACTACTCATTAAAAAAGAAGGGAGTTAGGATATGAAATCATACCACAGTAACCTGGCTGGGTGAGAAGAGAAGAAAAGGCATGAATTTTTGCTGACAAAACACCTTGGAGTAGTTGCAGTTTCTTGGCAGAAACCAAACCTGGCAAGGTTAGATTGTACGGTTGGGGTTTGTCATCTTAAATTAACAAATACTGTAATTACTGCTCCGTAGCTTTTCTCCTGGGAGAAATATCCCCAGTGTATCTCCTGTAGATCTCAGCCTTTCAAGAAAACATTCATGGACAGATAGAAGTATATCACCTTATTTTGAACTTTACCAGTCTTCACCTCATACTTATAAGTGGCATTTTCCCTATGAAAAAGCACTTTGTATTTCCTTCCCCTGTTAGAGTGGCAGGATGAACAGGTAACAAATGTCACTAATGATACCCTGTGTGTAATTAGGTCCTGTGTGCCCAGAGACCTCTGTGACAGCTTTATAGAGCTTTTCCTTTGAGATACTTTTCTTAATAGAAGTTTAGGAAGAAGTGGCAGAGTACAAAAAGTTGTTCTCTTGAATTTCATCCTGAGGGCACGTCTTTGTCCTCCAGTTCTTATCCAGCACGGGGTATCACTACACCACTTGCTTCTCCCATCCTCGGTGCACTAAATGTTTCTTCCTTGAGTGTTCTGTCCTTGGACCAATATCTCAGCCATCAAGGCATTGCCGTGATGCCGAGCAGATCTCCCAGCAAATGGCACTCAACAGAAATTTGTTGCATTACCTCTGATTTTTGAGTCTGCCCACAAACTCATCCAGTTGAGACAAAATCATTGCAAAAATCAAGGGTAGATTTAAAGCCAGAGGAAAACCATTGGTGACAGTTGTTACAGCAACTTCCCCATGAAGATGGGAAGCTTCTCTTGCTAAATCCCTGAAAGGTAAACTCACTGCAAACACGCGTCGCCCTTAAGAAGGCGTTGTCATCCATCCAGTGTTTGTTTTTAGTAGAAATGAGAGAGGGAGCAGGATTAGAGGGGGGGTTTAGCCCTGACACAGCCACTCTCCATCTGGTTGGCTTTGGTCAAATCGCTTCACTCCTCTGAAACTGTCCTGTGTGTCATGAAAGTCATTAGTTTAGGGTTGAAAGCGAATTAGGATGTTGACTTCATGCCAGGAAAAGGTAAGCTGGGGAAACCCCTGGGGAATGGTGACTAATGAAAGTTTTGCTGGGTAGAGAAAGCAGCTGGGACATGATATTTGTATTACTGTGGTGGTGACACCATCGTGGGAGCATGAGGAAGGGGAGAATCAACTGGGACTTTTGTAAACTCCAGAAGCAGAAGGATTTGCCTTCCTAGTCCAGAGGTGTGATTGTCATCCTTTAGGTAATGGAGGTGGGATGAATTTTTGCAGCTTGTAGATTATATTTTTTTTCAACACTTCAAATACCTGTTGAGAGAAGGCAAGGCTGGTTTCTTGAGTTATCTTCGGGTTATGGTAAGAAGAAAAACAGCAAAAATTTTGCTTCTTTATCTAGATGAATTGGAGCCAAAAAAATACATGGGCAAATACATGCAGATGTGCTTGGCCTCACCTTCAGCTTTTCAGGAGTTTTACCCTGTGCTTGCTGCTGTTTCATATTTTCCTTCAGTCATAGACATGAAAAGTTGTTAAAACTAATAACAACCAAGGAGGAAAGTCAGGAATGAAACCAGATGTTGGAAGTCAAATGGACTTGAAGGGGTTTAAATGGACTTGTTGAAGGGGTTTGGGCATCGGGTTTTCTTTTCATTTTTGGTGTGTTTTTTTGAGACTGTTTTGAATAAACAGAAAAATACTAGTAGCTCTGAAAGGAATTTGTTTTTAAATTACCTTTGTGGACCCTCTGTTTTCACAGGGAAGCTGGAAATGAAAACTGAGGATGAGGTGGATTTTCTGAAAGACGGCACCGAGAGCGCAGCCCGCGAGGAAGCGGTGAGTGCACGTGTTGTCACCTTGTTCTCTTGCTGTGCTGTTTAAAGACATGCCACCGCTG